TGAATCTCATTGGCTCACTCAACACTAGACTCAATGTGGTTTGGATGTTATCGTGTTTCTTGGACCTATGCTGGGTTAGGCTTCTAGCATGTTAGATCATAAATCAGGAAGCTAAACACACACACACACACACACATACACGCACACACACCCCCTTAGACCCAAGAGATGCAGCTGCTAGAACCAGCCAAGATCTTTCTTACCCCAGGGTACTTGAGCTTGCTACTCCTTCTGCCAGGAACTTTTATTCCTACCCTTTGGAAGCCTTCCTGTTTCTTATTCTTTACATCTCAGCCCAGATATTACCTCTTCAAAGGGGACCGTTCCTTAACTGTCCTATCTAAAGTAGATCTCCTGGCATTTCCTTTTTCAGCACTGCTTCTCAAGTACTAGTTCTTTTTATGTATTTGTTCATCAACTTGTTTTATTCTTTACCTCTCTATATATACCTCCAAAGAGGTAGAGACTTTGTCTCTCCAGTTTACCACTGTCTCCCAGCTCTTAACACAGAGTTTGATTCAGAAATGGGATTCGACTATTTGTCAGATGAATGAACCAGTATACGAGCTGCTGTGAATCCATGTCCTGGGTCTTCAACAGATACAAATGTGACACTGTTGTATTGGGATCTTCTTGTTTTTACAATAACATTTCGAGCTGTAGGAAATTGTGTATGGCTATTTAAAAGGGGCCCTGCACCAGCTTGGCCTTCCAAGTGCCCTGAAGGTGGACAGAAGGGGTTGGGATGTTACACGCTGTTTATCGATTTTGATCCTTTGGGAAAGAGGGAGGAGCCGTAGTCTCTGGACAAGCTTTACATTTTCTCATTTTCATATTTGTACCCATGATGCATGGGCACAATGCAGTAACATGTAATTGGGTACAAATAATGGGTTATTTGAGGCAAGGTATACAGTTATCCAAAGGCTGAACTCTGTGCTATCAGAGACGTGTGCTCTTCAGAGAAAGAAAATGCTGTCACTGTCACCTCCTGGGTACAGTTGACTATACCAGCCATCTTATTTTAAAAGGGTTCTATTTTTCTTTCTGTGCCTTTTTTTTAAAACATACATTCACTTGAGGTAGGAGCATGGCAGCTCTACGACTCAGTACAATGGTTACCACCGGTTAATTGTGTTTTATTTATTTATATCCTACCTAATTTACAAAAATATGTGGGATAGTTTATTAGTTTTCTATTACTGCATAACAAACTAACCCAAATATAGAGGCTTAAAGCAGCACGAATGTATTACCTCGCAGTTTCTCTATTGGTCAGGGGTCAGGGTGCTGTTCAGCTGGCTCCTCTGCTCTCACAGGCTGCTTTCCGGTGCCGGCTTGAGCTGAATCAGAGTGTTAGCACAATTCACTGCCTCGTGGTGTATGACTGTGGTCCCCATTTTCTTGCTAGCTGTTGGTCGGGACAATTCCCAGATCCTAGGGGCCGCTCCCCCTCATAGGTAGTTCATAACGTAGCCGCCTGCTTTCTTCCTTCAAGGCCGCCAGAGAAACTCTGCTTATAAAGGTTTCATCTGATTAGGTCAAGCCCACCCATGACAATTTCTCTTTTGATTAACTCAGAATCAACTGACTCGGGGCCTTGATTACGTCTGCGACACAGTCACGGGAGAGAGATCTCATCACAGTCCCAGGGTCTGCCCATGTGCAAGGGAAGGGATTATATTAGGCAAGGGTCACTGGGAGGCATTTTATAATTCTGCCAACCATGGTTTAGAATAATTTTTAAAAAGACGCTCAAAACTATTTATACTAGCTAAAAGAAAAACTGAAAAAGGAGAGAACAAGGGGGGAAATGTGAAAAAAATCCCAGAGATCATTCACTCATCCAATACGTATGATGAATTTATATACGCCAGGCAGTATTCTAAGTGCTGAGCGTCTTTTCACTAAAATGAAAAGATAGTGTGGTTATAGTTTATAGGAGCAGTTATCTCTTTGGGAAGCAAAACCAGGTCCGAAATTATTAGGTATCATCCTATCTGAAAACTAGAGGTTCTTTCTTATCTAGTCACGCTAAGAGGAGAATTATTATGTTATGGAATCTTCAGTTTAGAAAGAAAAGTGCCAGAAAGAATAAGGAACTTAAAAACACCATCCAGATCCCTTCCTTCCAAACTTCCCCTCACACCTCTAAGTCCTTGATGTCCCTGTCAGCCTTATTATCAGTCGGCCTGGCAAGTGCCAATCCTCTGAGGAGGGGCTGGGGCAGGCACTGTTACCCTTATTGCTGATTTAGGAGAGTATGATCTTCAGTCCTCACAAACTCCAAGGGAGGTAGATATTACCTTTATTTTTTCCCATGGCTCTTTGGCCTTTTGGATAAGATCAAGCGCAGTACCTTTATTTTTTTTTCCATATGCAACTATGACTCAGAGAAGGTAAGTTACTTGTTCAAGGTCTTATAGCAAATAAGGAGCAGAACTAGGACTAAAACCCAGGTCTGTCAGAGTCCAAAACCCATGCCCTTAACTATAGTATTCTCACCCCTTAGGAAACACCGTCTGTCTGCGCTGGCCTTCTATGCAAGAGATTTCCTCCTTAAAATGAAACCCTAGCTCTTAAATAGAAAGGGCAATGGCCAGGAAAATGCTGAACTAAAGCTGGAGGCTTCCTTTGAGTGCTTCGAATCCCGCCCTCTCCCCCCTATTAACTGTGATTTCACATTCTTTCTCAATATGCTGCGAGAAATTTTCATACGGTTGTGGCCAGACCCTGTATTTTCCACATAACACTCTGTCTATATAATCACTTCCAACTTGAGTGAATTTTACTCGGGATAGTCTTTAGAATTTGGTTGAAAACCCACATCTCCTTTCGTGCATAACCCCCCCCCCCCCCCCCAGGGAGGCTGGCAGGAAGGGTCGCGATGAGACCAGGAGATTGAAGAGGGTAACCAGGGGGGACTCAGGAACTGGAGGGCTGCCAGGTGTTTGCCCATCTGTGTTGCCCTACCTGGTTTCAGGCCACCTTCCCCCTGGCTCTCAGCAGTCTCTCCACTGACTCGGCCTTGTCCGGCTCCAGCCTGCTCTTCGGGCTCCAGCCAAGGCAATGATTCTAAAGCTGACTCTGTCACTCCCCTCAGCAGAACCCTTTAACGGCCCCTTGTTCTTCTTGGGATAAAGTCCAGACTCTGTAATATGGTTCAAATAGGCTGGGTCCTTCCCCAGCCTATGGGCTTCCGCCTTCTGCGCCTCACTCACCTCCCACCAGTCGCCCCTTCCTGCCACACTCAATTTCTTGGCAGTTCCTTGAATACCACACCCTTGGGAGCCTCCAGGCCTCTGCTCTTGCAGTCTCCTCAGCCTAACTCTTGCTCCCCTATTTCTTTTCACCTGGCCAGAGCCTCTTTACCTGACCTCACATATCTCCCCTTCAACTTCACTAGCTCTCAGGTGCCTTTCCTGATCTTCCCAAGTCGATAGTGGGACCCATCCAAGGCTCTCTGCCTCTCACTCCAGAGTTTGCTGAATCATAGCAATTATGACAGTGCAGTGTAATGACCTATTTATCTTCCCCAATAGACCGTGGCTGCACTGAGATCACTGGCTATATTTTCTTTCCTTTGTATTCTTTGCATTTATTGAGAGCAAGGACTCAGTAAGTGCTCCACAGATGGATGAATTAACGAAAGAGTGAGTCCGGCTGTGCCAGGGAAAGCACTGTGACCCTACTTTGCGAGCACCAGCTCTGTTAAGTGACTATTCCAGGGAATCTGAAAACAAATAAGTGATATTCAGACAATCTGGAAAAATTGAATGTATCTGGCAACTTCAGGCATAAAATTTCACTGAATTGTAAACAGCCCTCTCAAGAAGCTGCTTCTTTACAACATGAACGAAGGAACCAAGGAATATGGGATTCAAATGGGGAAGGAAGAAAAAATGTAGAGAAAGGACAATTTACCTGAGAAGAAAATACCCTTTCCAAATGGGGAAAGATACATTTCTATCTGCTTTCCTTTTGACCACAGACTGAGAGATTGCTCAAGTAACAGAAGAATAAATCATGTGTTAACCCTAACATTGAATGGTCTCCTGCAGAGGACGGGCCGTCTCGGCCAGAGCACCTGTTTTCTGATGGGTGGGACAACTTGTTGAGAGGAGCTGAACTGCTCGATGTTAAGAAAGGGCTGGGTTAGTTAGAGGCTGCAGTTGGGCAGTGGGAAGGCTGAGAGGGCGGGAGGAGGCGAAGCAAGTAGGGGGAGCTGGAGCCTGCCCCTCTAACTGAGGCTGAGCCCTGAAACAGGGTGCACGGTAAACCCCCTACCAACCCTTGGGGACAGGGAGCTTGGGACCCCCAACATGCCCAGTGGGGGGTGATGAACTTGTGTGTGGGTGTGGTGTGTGAGGAAAGACTGCACGTCCCTTCACGGCCTTTAGTACCATCTACTGTGCTCAGAAACACTTTCAGGACAAATGAGTTTATCCTGGGGAACCGAGCAAGAGAGCTGTGTATCGCTGACACAGGGTAGGGCAGGACCATCCCACAGGAGTTTTGCATTGCACTTATATACCCAGAAACTGGGTGAAAAGATACATATTGTTTAAAATGCCCATGTACAAAAATGGGCAACAATGGGACCAGGTGTCTGTGTGTGAAGTCCTTTTCTTATCAAGAATCTACTGGCTTTTGTTGAAAGGGTCCTCTGGGATTTCAAATTTGGTCACCTGGTCTTGCTATGGGAACAACATCAATGATGAATCAACTCCTCATATCAGCTATTCCTTCAGAAATTTTCCTTGAGAACCTATGACTCTATGCTAGACTCTGTTTCAGACTCTGTGCTAGACTATTGGCAACAGAGTGGCCAGCCGGTCAGCACCAGTCTCTGGATACAGTATGGATTGGCACGGAGCCTTCAGTGCCTAAACCGCTCCCCGACAATCAGAAAATCTTACTGAGCACTGCTGAATCTATATACTACTTTATCAGAGAGGCCTTACCCCTGGAATAGATGGAGACCATTCTGAATCGTTCTGAATACGTTTATATTTAAATATGTCCCAGAAAATAAAATAGAAAGAATGCTTCATTTGATTGGAGACAGGACCAAAGCCTTTCTGAAGTGCTCCGCAGGCCACTGTGAATCGCTGTAGATTTCAGGCCGGGACTTGGCTGCTGCCCTCTCTGTATCTTTCACTTGGCTACCCAGGGCTGTACTCGCTTTGGTAAGACTCTGCCTCCAGGTGCTGCTTTGGCAACTCAGTTACTTGAGGGATGCTTCTCTTGAGTTGGAAATCAACCTTGAAGAAAAAAAAAAAAAAAGTAAGCGAAGAGAGTGGAGGAATCAGCTTTCAACTTCCTGGAACTGAAATTGGAGAAAGACCTGTTTGGACCCGGTTTCACCAGAGTTGCAGGTTCTGAGGGGTGGGGAGCAAAGAGAATTATCACAGCAATGACCCAGAACAGCGCTGGTAGCATCACATAGGCTTGGCTGATAATCCCCTTAAAAGTGCTACATAATCACTGGTGATACATAGGGTGTATATAGAGGAAATTAATGTTCATTTATTTTTTATGCATTAGGAAAAAAAACCCCTCTATCTACACCTCAAGCCATGACCTCACCAATAATGCTGCCTAAGATAAGGACTATGGTACTGTAATAATCCCCTATACACTGACTGTGTGAATCATAGGTATCGTGCTCAGGCATGCTTTGGCCTCAGGCCCTTAGAACTAAATGTTCTGTCATAATCAGTCAGAAATATAGATAGAAGAGATAATATGGATCATTAGATGGATTCTTGGGCTCCAAATTTCCACGTGCATTAATGCATCATTTCCAGGAATACATGGCAACTTTCCTTCTAGCGGTGGCACACAGATATGAAGATGGTATTGACTGACAAACCGGGATACGCTGGCCGTGCAGGAGCTCTGGCACATCCCAGAAGCACAGGCAGAGGGAGTGGCTCAGCCTTCTAACCACACTCCCTTGAGGCATCCTCGCCTCTCAAGCCCTTGGAACGGTTCGAGCGGCAGAAGCCAGCTGGGAATTAAAAATCTTGCAACTAAGAGGACCCTCCGCGGGTTATTTCTTGCCCCTTCCACAAAAATCCACAGCCAGCTTTCCCACTAGTTCCCCAAAGCAGGGACAGTCAGAGCCAAAGGCACTGTCCTCATTATCTCCTATATAGTAATACAGGGAAGGGAGGGAGCTGTCGGGGGAGGGGGCACGGAGGGAGGGGAGAGAGAGCAAAATGGGGAAAGGACAGAGGGAAATGAAAGGAACATGGCATTCTAGAAGGCTGCGGAGAAAGGCCAAGGAGAAGCCAGGACTCTGGGAGGTATCTGAAAGAGTCTCAACTTTAACGTGAAAACCCTCCAGTCAATGATCTTTTGCTTTTCTCTTCCCCCAGCCAGGTGGATCTCTGCTCTAAAATGGGAAGAGAGACTCTACTGTGATGAATAAATGGATTCTTAGTTGTTATGTTATCTGTGAATTGTATCTGAAAGACAGGTTTTCCCCTCTCTTGAATTATATGTGATACAATAATGGGTTATGTTAATTTGTTTAAAGGCTCTATGACAAAGGAGTTGAAATATTTTGAAGCAGAGTATGTTAAGCTAGAAAATTTAGAGTTGATTGCATTTGGCACTGAACAGACCTCCTTTAATGCAAGACTCATGCATGCAGCTGCTTAACTGTTGTTTGATTTTAGGGTAGATAAGGAACAGAAGGTCTCACAAGAAGAAAGAGAAAGAGAATATGTTGGTTGGGAAATTGGGGCTAGGGCACAGGCTGCAATGGAAGAGTTACCCTTTGCTTCCTGCCTTTGCATGGAGTCGTTTATAAAATGCAGATGGGAGTGGATGGACAGGGAAAGGAGAAAGGGAAACTCTCTAGAAATTTCTGAGGGATTTTCAAAGGATTTAAAAAATTCTTTACTCTGATCCGTGTGTTAAAAAGAGGAAGTTATGAACACAGGTAATGAGCTTAGCACAAGGCCCTGTTACATGCTGGCTAACAAGACAGCCCTGAAATCCCACAGGTTCGAATCGTGGCCCCCACCACTTATTCTCTGCAATATTGGACAAATTTCTAACTTTCTCAAAATTTCCGTTTCCTTAGCCACAAATGGGGATACTTCTATCTACCTCACAGGGTTGTTGTAAAGATTACATAAGATAATTCTGGAAAGTTCTCTTATAGTGTCTGATACACAGTAACTGTTTAATAAGTAGTTAAAAAAAAAAAAAATCCTACCTAGTCCTGCCTGGTGTGGCTCAGTAGATTGAGCACCAGTCTGTGAATCGAAAGGTTGCTGGTTAGATTCCTGGTCAGGGCTTACGCCTGGTTTGCAGGCCAGGTCCCCAGTTGGGGGCGTGTGACAAGCAACTGATCCATGTATCTCTCACATTTCTCTCCATCTCTTTCTCACTCTCTTCTCCTCTAAAAGTAAATAAAATCTTTTAAAATAATAAAAAAAAATTAAATCCTACCTCTATTTGTAAAGACAAGCTACTTGACTGTATGGAGTTAACAGGGGAAGAAGGAGGGTCTGCTAAGCTCTAGGGCTGTACAGAGAAGTAGCTAGACACAGCGAGGAGGCCCTCGGGGAGGGCTGGTTGTAGGAAAGCAGGTCTGTAGATGCTCATTAAATGGGACTGTTCCATTATCTTTTCTTTGTTTGAGAAATCCGAGGATTCGAGTCCATGATCACCAAGCCTCTTTAGCTCTAAGATCCTAACCTAATAACCTAATAACCTAATAACCAGAGCTCAAAAGGTACAGGCTGGTTCTGCTGTGGCTCTGCGCCACCCCACAGACTTGGGCCTCCCCAAGGACCTCACCAAAAAAGCCAAGTTTGTGAGGGAGGTGATCCCTCTATGTGGTTTTACCCTCTATGAGCGGTGGGCCACGGAGCTGCTCAAGGTCTCTAAGGACAAGAGGGCCCTGAAATTCATCAAGAAAAGGGTTGGGACACACATCCCTGCCAAGAGGAGGAGGGCAACATCCTTGCAGCCATGAGGAAGGCAGCAGCCAAGAAGGATGGAGCCCCATTCTCTGTGTGTGTGTCTGTTCAGGGAAAAAAAGAAAAAAAAGGTCCAGATTGTAGATGAAAAAAGGTCTTTGCTTCTCATGTAAAGAAAGCTGTGGAGAGTTGAATATTGGAGAACAACTGGTTATTGGCTGAGCTGAGCGGAAAGCAAGGGGCTTGGGCACCCAGGGCACCAGAGGGGGCAGAGTGCCATCTGGTGGTAGCCTCTGTGGATGGCACAAACGAATGCAATTCATGGGAGCCCGTGTATCTGGGCAATGTCTCTGGGATGTTACAAACTAACACTTTTCGGGCACTTTCCATGCGTCAGTGCATGCTTTATGTGCACTTTCTCATCCCAACCTCTTGTGAAGGACGTACTATTACCACCAATTTACAGAAGAAGAAGCTGAGGATGAGCGTGATTACGTAATTTGTCCACATTGTATGGACAGAGGAGCTGGATTTAGAAGCAGACAGTGCTTTTAATCACTGTGCTATGTTAAACTGGAGAAAATGAAAAGTCAAAAGGAAGTGGTGAAGGATATAACAGGGAAGTGACAAAGAAAAATTAGCATATGAGAGCAATGAATTTTTTTATGATGAAAGAAAGATTAGCAAAGATTAGAGAACTACACAATTCGTTGGCTGTGACTCTGTATAAGTGACCTTTACAGTCCTCTGTAAAGGTCAGCCTAACTCACCACTTTTGGTTCCCCAGGACCCACGGTCACAATCACGGTCTCTGAGTCGAACCCAGGTGCTGAGGCAGTGACACTGTATGTGCCTGGAAGAAGCAGCCGGAAGTAGTCGCCCTTGTCACCTAAAAGTTAAAGGAATGTGATCAGAAACTGCCCAAAATAGCATTTTCATATGAAAAACAATTTGAGGATTTCAGCTGACCCCAAGCTTAATTTTTCTTAATAGGTGATGAAACTGGTTAATTCTAAAACAATCATAGGCTATTTTACACGATAGGAACATGGACCTCAGCTCCTGGGAAGCAGGAGCTTCACAGTGCTCTGCACTGAGGAGTTGGGTTTAGTTCTAGACACTGTATCGTTTAAATTCATGTCCAGAAAAAGGTCACCAGGAGAAAGGTTGAATATCTATAAATGTTTTTGCCTGGCAAAGAGAATACATGAGACCTCTGTTTCAATGTTTGAAAAGTGATTGTGAAGAAGTGTGTACATAAGGAAATAAGCATGAGAACTTTGGGCTTAAGGTGCTAGGAGAAAGATTTCGCTCGACAGAAACAAAAACTACTGTGACACACAGGACTTCCGAAGAAGAAACGGACTGCTTTATGAAACTGTGAGTCCTTCAGCAGACACTGAATGAGGGGCCCTGGGAAAGCTACGCGGCGGAGCAGTGCCCAGCCTGCTCTGATGGGCGGGTGGCCCTGGGCTGGACGAGCTGCTGTCTCAGAGGTGTCACGTGTGTGTATTCTTATACTGAGTGGGAGGGCTGGATGAAATGACCTATGAAGGTCTGATTTTGAGAATCCCATTTTTAATAGTTCTTCCATCGCCTTCCGAAGGGGAAAATAAAATTCAAAAGAAGGCCTGTTTCTCTGCGGCAAGGATGTAGCGTTTTGGCTGATGACATTACCTTGCTTTTGAATCAATAGTGATCGTGCCTTTAAATGGCTTTTAAATATACAGCAATGAACAATTGAAATAAAGTGCAATTGAGAACAAGACAGACAATAAATAATGAGAAAGTCTCTTTTCTGCCCCTTACTTAATGTCTAAAATTTACTTTAAAACACTTCAGCAGAAGCAGCATGTCACTATGCACATGCGAGACAGTTTAGGTCACACCCCAGGGCTGTCATTTTCTTAACCAGGGCTCACATCCAGGGGTAGTAGCCAGCGGTGTGTCTGTCTACTCTAAAGGCCCACTTCCCGATGCAGCTATGAGTGAGGGCTTCCGCTACCCTTATCTCTAATCACACTTGATGCTTTGCTGAGTCGTATAATGAATGTTACCAATGAGTATTTTCAGTGTGGAAATGAGTAATTTATTACTTTAGCATATGGGTATTGGAAGTGGGCCCTTATTAGTGATATTAGTGGTATCCATTCCATGGTGGTTGTCTAGAATGTTTCTGAGTCATTCCCTACCCTTGCGTGAATAAGTTATAAGGATCTAGCAAGCCCTGAAGCTCTTAGGGGTGCCAGAGGCTTGATCTCTAAACCCTCCTGGGCCCAGCCACTGGTCTGATACTTGACTATAAGGCTATAGAGTTTTGCCTTCAGAATATCGCTACCTTTGCCTTTAATGAGCCTGTCCTGTAAGATGTGTTTGGATCATCTTGAGTATGAGTTAGCTGGCTAAGATTTCATCTAGTTTAGACAGACTGTCTGAACTGTAAGGTGCCTGCCTGGTGTGGCCAAATGCGCCTGAGCCTCACTGGTATCAAAGTTGTGGGGAGGAGGCAGGCCGATCTCACTACCCCTACCCGTTGGTAGCTACTGCCTTACTCTAAAAACAAAGCAATCCAAAAACTCCTCCAAGCCAGCCATGATCAAACTGGGCCGGGGCAGTGTGCAACACCATTGTGCCATGAGATATTCTGTACCATTCTAGGAGGTTCTGTCAACCTTGCCCTGCAACAAGTCTATAGAACGCATCTTGCTAACTTTGCCCTGAATGGAGATATAGTGAGATACTGGGTCAGGGACAAGACTAAACATCTGTATTCCAGTCCTTTCCATTTCTACCTCATTTCACAGCAGTACGTGACCTATGCATAACTTCAAACCCAGAAAACACCCCTAACAAAGTGATCTGAGGAAGTGGCTCCTGAATGCTCAGGGAGACATTGCATTGGCACCTTCCTGGTCCTTGTCTTGTAATGCACTGTTCCCATGTCTATCACCCTTTCTCCCTCCAGTCCCCCACCCCACAGTGGCCTTGATGTCCCAGCTCGTCTCCCTGGCTCCAATTTGGCCTCCTCACTATGCTGAACAAGAAGAGGGAATGGAAGCATGCTTCTCACACTACTAGGTAGTGGCCACCTACTTGAAGTGACATCATGGTTAATCCCACTGACAGAAATGACAGCCTCAGGGACATTATTATTATTCTCATCAAGCACCATTCCCTTGATGCCATGGTGTACCTGTAGGAAAAGACATACAGTGTAACTACAATCATAGAACATTGTACAGTGTTTTAAAGTCCCTAAAGCCCTGTCTCACATGCTTCTGCATTTGGTTTTCACACCAATTACCCTAATAACCCCTTAACTGCTCACAATGATCCTGTTAAAAATCTAAGTCAAACCATGTCATCGGTCTACCCAAAGTCCAACTTGGAGCAAAGGCTAGTTTTGATTCTCATGGTCTATGAAGCCGCAGCCTCAGCAAGCCGACTGAGCTCCTCTCCTGCTCCCCTCTCCCGCGCTCCCATGATTATTCCAGCCACACTGGTGTCCTGTGATAAAATACACACAACACACAATTTACTATTTGAGCCATTTTTATGTATACAGCTCAGTAGTGTTAAGTATATTCACATTGTGTCCAGAACTTTTTCATCCTGCAAAACTGAAACTGTAAAAATACAATAAAGAATAAATTTTTTAAAAAACTGAAACTCTCTACTCATTAAATAAGTCCCACCTCTTTCTCTTCCCAGACCCTGGCAACTACCATTCTACTTTCTGCCTATGAATTTGACTACTCTTGATACGTCTTTAAGTGAAATTACAGGGTATTTCTCTTTGTCTGATTGGCTTATTTCACTTGGTGTAATGTCCATAGGGTTTATTCATGTTGTAGCATGTGGCAGAATTTCATTCTTTTTAAAGGCAGAATAATATTCCATTTTATGTATATACCATATTTTGTTTATCCATTTATCTCTTGTTGAACACTTGGATTGTTTCCACATTTTGGCTCTTAAGAATGCTGCTACTATGAAAAACTGACTCTTTGAGGTTCAGCTTTCAGTTCTGGGGGGTATACACCCAGAAGCAGATTGTTGGCTCATACAGATCACTTTTTAATTTTTTGAAGAACTGTAGTACTGTTTTTTGTAGCAGCTTTCCCATTTTACATCCCCACCAGTAATGTACAAGGATTCCAATTTTGCCACATCCTTGCCAATATTTGCTATTTTTTATCATTGTTTTTATAAGGTTTTATTTATTTTTAGGGAGAGGGGAAGGGAGGCAGAAGGAGAGAGAGAGAAACATTGATATGAGGGAGAAACATCAACTGGTAGCCTCTCACATACACCCCAACGGGGGACTGAACCTGCAACTCAGCTTGTGCCATAAACAGGAGTCGAACCAGCGAACTTTATTTTGTGGGGTGATGCCCAACCAGCTGAGCCACACCAGTCCGGGCTTGTTTGTTTCTTAATAGCAGCCATCCTAATCGGGGCGAGGTGGTATGTCCCTGTGGTTTCGGTTTGGAGTGCCCTAATGACTGGCGATGTTGAGCATCTTTCACGTGCTTGTTGTCGGCCTTGCAGTCACTTTTGTGTCCTCACCTCTTTTCTCTAGATATTTGTGTGGTCCCCTCACTTACCTCCTTTAAGTCTGTTTAAATGTCACCTCCACTGTTTGGCTTTCTTCATGGCATTGAACAGGTTATAAAATTTATTTTACTACTTTGTTTATTGTCTATCTTTTCTCACTAGAATATCAGCTCCATATGGACAGAAATTTGTCTGTTTATACTCATAATCCCCGGCGTATCGTACAGTGTTTGACAGATAGTGGTGCTCAATGATGGTGAATGGATATAATTCATTGGTACCAGCCCGGATTGATGAGTCAGAGCACAAGTCAGACTTGAGTCACACAGAAAGCCTTCCCTATCATTGGACAACTCATCTCTTTCTGTGACCATGAAGGATAAAGAATTCAATTTTACCTGTTCCAAGAATTGGATTAGGGCCTCCCGATTACCGAGCCACTCGCGCTGCAATTCCTCTTGGCGGGGAAATTTGTCGCAACTCAGTTCCAGCGTGATCTCGAAACAGTTGGTATGGAGATAGTTAAAGTCTTGCATTCCTAGGGGAAAGAGGGCAGTGGCCGGTTGGTACAACCAGATTCTCACCCAACCTATGCCCCCCTCAGCTCTCTTTAATCACAGTTTCTCCTTACACACCTCATTATCTTCTACCTCTTTTTTTAAAAAAAAAGATTTTATTTATTTACTTTAAGACAGAGGGGAAGAGAAGGAGAAAGAGAGGGAGAGAAACATCACTGTGTGGTTTTTTCTCACATGCCTCCTACTGGGGACCTGACCTGCAATCCAGGCACGTGCCCTGATTAGGAATCAAACCAGTGACACTTTGATTCACAGGCTGGTGCTCAATCTGCTGAGCCACCCCTGCCAGTGCTCTATTCTACCTCTTGATCTACCTTTACTTCTTCTCCATGGAACCTTTCCCCAGTATCTTAGCTCACATGTCTTGGTTATTGTTCCAGTTTTCTCTCTTCATAAATGCCCATTTTTGGCATCTCTACCTCAACTTTTCTTTCCCATTGGGTGACTTAAACTCACTTCTTGTCTCCCTTAGCATGTCCAAAATCTGCTTGTTGGTTGTGCTTTAACATTAGACTAGGCACATGTACTGTTTTCTGGGGGACAGATTTCCTCTTTGGATCGTGATGTCCTCCAGACCCGGGAGGTTAGAGATGAGACAAATATCTTGCTTTCCCATCCCTCCACCAGAGGACACAGCACTAGCCTGAAAAACAGTTATCCAAGGAACACAGCACCCTGAGAAAGCAGAAAGCAGCTCTGTATTTTGCTGCCATTTAATGCTGGCTTGCTTCTATCTCCTACTTTATTCAATTGAATTAATTATTTTAAAACATGTTTCTCATGATTGGAATGGTCTTTATATCACAAATGTATTTGGTTAAAAAAATCACCCATTTATACCCTGGAGGAAAACAGGTCCCCCACTGTAGGGGGACACAGGAAAACCCCTACATCTAATTTGTCAAGTTCAGATGGACATCCACACTTCTATGTCAAATCTTTTAGTTTTAAAATTCTCTCAACTGATGGAAGATTATATGGACAACTCTCATTATTTAGTGACTCACCACATATTCATAGTATTTGATGTTATCTTGTACTTTATTTGTTGTTCTGTAGATTTTCAGCGTATATTTATTCTCCCTAGTAAAATGACACTAACTTGAAAAAAATGCCCTTTTAATTAACTCTCTCCTGCTCTCTGAGCAAATGTGTGCAAGCAGCTGTTACACAAAGTTGGAAAACAACTATAGGCTGTTTTATCGCTTCTTTCTCAGCATCACAGTCACGTGGAAGGATGCATCTTTTAGCCAAGTACAAGTTCCTAGGCCTCAGGAGTTTCTGACTCAGTGAGTATGAAGTGGGACCCCCAAATTTGCATTTCTCATGAGTACCAGGCAGTGCTGATGATGCTGGTCCAGGGACCACACTGTTGGACCAATTATTTTAATACACGTAATGACCTTGAAGTTGTACGAGTTTAATTTGGGGCAATGATTCTCAGTGGAGGCAGGGGCCATGCTTTCCTAGACGATGATGGGAAGGGAGGAACAAGTATCACTTGAAACAGTATATTTGTTATTTTATATTTTGGGGAAAAAAAACTATTGCTTTCCTAAGGCAAACTAAAGAAAGTTCAACAAAATCTTCTTGCTTTGTGTTCAAGAGAGTTTCAAGCCACTTTCCTGGTACATGATGATTCCCCAACCTCCCTCCTCCCTGCTCTCTGTAGGACCGGCTATCAGCTCAGTCCTTACTAGTGAGCTTTCTGCTACCTGGGCTCTGGCCAGGTCAGATCTGAGAGGAGAGGGAAAGTCAACTGGAGAGGGAATCCTGAGACAGGATTCCTAAGAGATCCCAGCTTCCTGCTTCAGCCTCTTCCCTATCTTAGGTTTCTCTCCTGAAGGCTCATAAACAGAGGTTCCATCTCAACCCTTGGTTACGGGGAAAGCCTGGGGAGTAGAGAGAGTGAAACCTTTGCTGGGGGTTTCAGCTACATTATCAGTGGCCAATATCCAGGCAAAGTCCTGCTCATGGGATATGGGCAGGCAGGGTGCAGAGCATATGCCAGGGGAGCGGTTTCTGCCCAGGCCAGCTCCTCTGGTCACCTGTTGGTAAGGGCAGCATAACCCTATGCTAGTTAGAAACAGCCTAACATTTATATGAGGTATCTTCAAATGCTTTATGAGCATTATTTTATCCAATACTTACATCACAATGATGGGGCAAGTATTGTTATTCTTAATGTACAGACAAGGAAACCAAAGCTCAGAGAAGTTATGTAATTTGCTTGAAGCCACATAGCTGGTAAATGGGCAAGCTGGGTTTCAACCCAATGTTCCTCTGAAGCCCACGCTTAACCACTGGGCTATACATTATTTCCCTCCTATGCCCCGATATTCCTTGTTAACCACCAGCTCTAAAAGGCCACAAGGTCTCCTGTCATTTTGATAAACTACAGAAGGCCATCAATACTAACTTAAGACTTTGTTGTGTTCAGATCTCTGCTCAAAGGCAAAATGCTATAGTATACTTGTCATTTCTCTGAGAACAAAGTGGTAATGCCGAAGGAGAAACGAGCCCCACCCCACTTCAGCTGGCAGTGCGGCTGTGGCCGGGCCTCCCCTTACCCTTGCTGAGGGAATACCAGGAAGCCCCATTGGTGATGCCGTCTGGGAAGTAGTCCCCACAGTTCCAGCCGTGGTGCATCCATCCATGTGCATAGGAGTAGACCTTGGCCAGCTGTAGGAAATGTGGGCAGAAATGGCCTTGAGTGTTCCTGACTCCTATGGCAATGTCCCCACTCAGAAGCAGGGTAGAGCCCAGAAATCCCATGAGGTATAAAGAACTGAGTATTGGTTTTAGTGAAAGAAAATACCAGCAGAGATAGAAATGGGGGGTGTGTGTGTCTATTACACTAGAGCTAAGAAACCTGCATTCTGATGTTTCCACTGCCTTGGGACTAAACTTCTTTAAGTGCAAAGTGAGGGGTGGCACTGCATGATATATAAACTCCCTGTTTGGTGTATCTTTCCTTTTCTAAAAAATTCATTCATTTTTCTGTTTTAAATTTATTTTTAATTAGAGGTGACATACGATATTATGTTTCAAATAATATGCTATATATTATAATGTATGATCTATAACAACGTGCGGGAATGTATTCTATTTCAAGTATATTACAACATAACGATTACACGTTTATACACCTTGCGGAGTGAGCGCCCTGGCAGTCTAGGGCTCGTCCCACCCCACACAGGGGTGTTACAATATTATTGACTATATTTCCTGTGCTGTACTTCACATCCCCGTGACCATTTTGGTTACTGGCAATTTGTACTTTTTGTTCTTCTTTTAAGTGTGATTTTTTTCTAGCAAAGTTTTGTAAAAGAAAGGAGCAAGTAAGATAGGCCTTCGCCGGAAAAACACCTGTGTTTTGGGAGTGAGGGTTGTGTTGGTGAGAGAGGAATGTATTTAGCATCTGTCTTCGTTCCCTTTCATTACTATTTATAACAGTGAACAAAATGAGATATACGTGCTTTGCAAAGCAGCAACTAGTATTATTCCCTCTGCAATCCATTAATTGATGAATTTATAATTAATGCTATTGTAACAATTATTTCTATAAATTATGTTATTAATAATATATTAACTATTAACTAACCTGATAATTTTATTCTATTGCTCTTTTGACCTATCATGTAAATCTTTTTTTATGTGCGTGGTGTGTTTTTCATTAATATTCCCTAACCTCTGTAAAATTGCAAATTAGAGCCCCCCAAATGCACATATAATGTCCCTCCCCTGCCACCAGCACAATTAGTCTTTTGGCATATTTCTTGCATGTCATTAGCATAAGTACTTTTTCACACTGTGGTGATTAAACTATAAAAGCTTTCCTATGTATTTACTCTTTCATGAATTTCTGGCTTATCACTCAAAACAAAATGAAATTTATTAGGCTGTAAGCTCCTAATGAGCAAGCAGTGTTTCCTATTATTTTCTCTGGACCTGTACTTATCAGGGTCTCATGTTACTGACTTGACCCGTGTTCCTCTCCTGAGCCCCAGGTTGCTGGCTGGATGAGCCGTCATTCGACCTACCTTCTGGAAAAGCTTGTCGTCAGGAGTGGGGGTCTTGGCAGTGCGGCGGAAACCTCTGACCCGGTGCTCCAGGGACTTGTCATAGGGGTAATTGGCCACCACTGCCCCTCCATGGAGATTAGCCGAAAGGACAAAGTTGAAAGAGTGTAACCAGTGGATCACGGCCCGGGTCTCGGGTTCCACCTGAGGAGAGATGAGAGCCCTTCGAACAAGTTTGTCGAGAAGTGGCCTGAGGAGACACAATGTCTAAATCAGACAGGCCCTACCAGATATGAGAAGTGTACATAGAGAAATTTTGATCTTTTGCATGGTGGTTTTAAATATTATATTAAGGGGATGGAACCCCTCACACTTCAAAATGAAAACTTATGTGGAGTCCTAATATGTAAAAGAGATAAAAAGAGAACATTTAGGGCAGTCAAACGATTGTGCATGATATATGTCATGATACATTTGTCCGAACCCATAGAATGTTCCACGTGAAGAGTGCCTGCTAATGTAAACTATGGGCTTTGTGTAATAAGGATGAGTCAATGTAGGTTCATGTCTTCTCACAAATGCGCCACTGTGGCGCCGCATGTTGGCGATGGGAAGCAGGGGTATGTGGGAAGTGTCCGTACTTTCCACTCAGTTGTGCTGTGAACCTGAAACTGCTCTGAAGAATAAAGTCTATGGGGCGAGAGAAGAGAGAGAGAAGCCCAAGCTTGGCATCTCCCTGGCCCCTGGGAAAGTCTTCCCCACTGCATTGCACCATTGGCTTCTGAGGCATCTTGGTAGAAACTTAGGGCTCTGATAAATAAATGTGGAAAATCCTGGTTTGCAGTAACGGTTGTCAACACATTCTTTTCCCCAACAAACCTACTGCAACACTCACATGTGGCCATACTCAAATTTTATGGATTAGAAATAGTACAATACGGGTCAGTTTTGGCTAAGTAGTGAAATTCCACCCTTTTGATTGCACATTACAGTGCTAGTGAGTGACAGTGTTTCAAGGAAAGCCATGAATCCACTTGGACTTGCATTATAAATAAATAATTTACAGACTTCAGTGTTTTGCCTCCTCTCAGGAAAAGTGTGCTTAGAGGTATTGTGGTGTTAATATGTTAGTGGCTCCTGCCAGACCAAGGGTCAACTGTGATGGCCCCATCTTTTCTATCCCAAGGGGAAGTCAATGAATATGGTTGAGCTTTACCCAGTCAGAATGGGTACAATAGTAAGGGCACCAGTCCTGCGCTGTGCCCAGGACTCAGCCCCTTTGAAGCAGTCCAGTGTCCTAAGACCTCTGTCCATCTGAACAAAGCCAGCGTCTCCCTCAAGCCTGTCCCAACAGATGCAGCAAAGACTTGCGTCTCATTCTCCATCTTCTAAGATTCAGAAAGAGGAGCAGTGACAGTCTCCTTATTACTGGCTCTTTGACTTTATTTTACTTCAACAAGTTAATTAATCGGAACATCCTTCTGACTGCATATGCTGCCTAGTACAAAGTTATTTTGGATTTAGTATTTACTTGAGCCAAGAGCATAGCTGCTCTCTGAAATCTAAACATGTTAGCATGAATTCATTTCCAATCGAGACTATTCTGTCTAGAAACCTTGGAATAGAAAGCCTTACACCTGTCTTGTGCTTCTCTCCTCAGTCTCTCAGTTTAGATATTCACAAACAGAACATGAAAAACCATTCCACACAGTGTGAAAAACAGGGTGGGAGTGATGTTCTCAGGATGATGGCAGTTATTCTCAGGAGGAGGCCCACCTGTAGGATGAAACCATTTGCATTGCCAGGGGCGACACTGCAGGCCTCCTGGGAGAAAGGCTTGGGAGCATTGAGTAAGATCTTCTGACTGGGAGAGGAAGGGGAACAAGAGCTCGGTAGAGCAGCCCTGGCTCACACAGAAAAGAAAAAGGAAAAGCAATACATAAGGGGAAGACTCTTTGGACTTTTTATAGCTAATAGTTGATGGGCATGTAGTTCACATGTAAGAGAGAGTTCTCTATGGAATGCTAGAGTTCTTTGTCAACAGTACAGCACAGTACAAAGAGTGTTGGTGAGGAGTTGGAAGACTTGGGCTTTAACCCTGATTCCATCAATTAGAGCTGTGTGAATTGAAATTATTTTGTATACGCATAACATTTATAAAACAAGGATGGAAGACACTGATGATCAACTGAAATGCTGGCTAAGAAAGAATTTTACAAACCACCGTGCAACTGTATGATTCTGCCTTCACCTCCCTCACTACCATGGCCACTAACATGAAACATTTTGTGAGCAGGTGCCCCGTGGAGGGCCCTATGCTGAGGGAGGAAGTAAGTACAAGAAAGCATAAGACACAGTGGTTATTGCTCTGGAAAATAACCATTAATAGGAAGTCAAGCTGATGCCTAATTTTGCTTAAGTAGTTGATGTGAACATTGGCTGAAGGAAGTCCAGGTGCTGATTTTCCTGCCTCTGTTGCAAATTTCTCTTCATACCTGGTTTTTCCAGTTGTCGGGAAGGGGCAAGTGGTGGTTGGGACCCCCATACTTCTCATTGTAGTAGATGTAGCTATTGAGGTCGGGGAAATTGCGGTTCAGGTCCACGCCATTTGCGTTGTTCCTGCCAACCAGATACCTAGAAACGTTTGGTCCCTATGGGGAAAATGGAGAGGTGAAGAATGAAGGTTCCAGACCAAATCCTAAATTTGAAGAACACTGTAGAATTCTTTTAAGGTATTAGCTTCATCTCTCATGTAATGACACAGCATTTTCCTCTTTAACTTATCCAAAGACCCAGGGGTATGGTACACATTTCTCTGGAGACCACGTGCTGGAGGTATGGATCGCAGGAGAAGCTCTAGCAAGAATAGGGTATTTCAGGATAATGAGGACACCTGTTTTTTTTAAAAACAACTTTATTGAGAGGTAACTTACATACCATAAAATTCACCCATTTGAAGTGTATGAGTCAATGAATTTTAGCATGCTGACAACAGTTGTACAACCTTCACCATAATCTACTTTGTGAACATTTCTATCACCCTAAAAAGAAACCTCACGCCCACTTACAGTCACTCCTCGTTTTAACTCCAGCCTGAGGGAATCACTCTGGAGATTTGCCTTTTCTGGGACATGTTGCATATGCGGGATCATAAATTATGTGTTTGGCTTTTTTTCACTAGACAATGTTTTCAGGGTTCTTCCATGTTGCAGCAAATATCAATCCCTCCTTCCTTTTTGTGGATGAAGAGTTCCATCATATGAATTTATCCCATTTTGTTCATCCATTCACCAGTTAACAGACTGTATTAGTTTCCTAGGGCTGCCATAACAAGTTACCCCAAACTAGGTGGCTCATAACAACAGAAATTTGTTCTCCCACAATTCTGGATGCTAGAAGTCTGAAATCAAGGTATGGGCAGGGCCATGCCCATGAAAGACTCTAGGGCAGGATCCTTCTTTGTCTCTCCTAGCTTCTGGTGGCTGCTAGCAATCCGTGGCGCTCCCTAGCTTGCAGATGAATCACTCCCATTTCTGCTTCCATCCTCGTATGGCCTTCTCCTCCATCTGTTGTTTCTGAATAATTTGTTTCTTCTGGTAAGGACAACAGGCATACTGGATTTAGGGCTCACCTTTATCTACCATGACTTGATCTTCACCTGATTACATATGCAAAACCCTATTTTCAAATGAGGTCACATTCACAGGTTCCAGGTAGACATGAATTTTGAGGATATCATTTCAACCCAGGACATGGACATTTGGGTTGTTTCCACTTTTTTGGCTATAGTGAATAATGCTGCTATGAACATTCATGTACAAGTCTTCGTGTGGACACATGTTTCCATTTCCCTTGGGTAGATACCTAGTGGTGGGACTGCTGGGTCATAAGGTAAGTCACTGTTTAACTATTTCAGAAAAAGTTAAACTATCTTTCAAAGTGGCTGTACCATGAAAACCCCACCACCACTTTTTCAAACTTAGTATCCTTGCTTATCTTTCTTCTGAGTAATAACAACCTCATGCTTATACTTCACCTTTCTCTGCTCACACTTCAAACATCATCATTTATTTGATCATGGATTCATTCCTTCCCTCATCCATTCATCCATTTAGATAACCATGTGAACTAAGTGGTTTATTTAACCATAAATAAAATAGATAATATTTTATTTATTCAAGTCCATCTCTGATAGACCCTCTGACAGACATGGAGGAAAGATAATGAGACGTTTTGTGAGCATTCTAAGAATCCTCGTATATGTGGGGAGAAAGATATTTATACAAATATCTAAAACATATAAAGCAGTAGAATAGAGATATGTTCCAAGGCCCTTGCAAAATTGAAATTCCATTTAGTGTTTTGGGTGGCGCTGGAGAAGGGGAACAGTGTCCACTGGGGCCCTGTGCGCTGACAGAGTAGAGCCCCATTTGTGACTGGTTTGATGTTGAGCAATAAAAACTCACAGATGCTACCAGTCTCATATGGTTCTAAGGAGTCTTTATTTTTCTCCCATTTCCTCATGTTTCAAGGCATCCTGCTCAGCTTTTATTCCTAGATATCATTGTGAACATAATATATTTTTAAGTTGTCTACCATATTCTGCCAAAGTTCTGTCCAGTGAAAAACATGTATCTGATTTTTTAGTTTGAAGTTTGAGTTTTCACTTCAATCATGATTTTTTTCTCATGTTCCATGGGTTTTTCACTACTTGTCTACTTGTATCAACTAGCCCTTACCTGTTCACACTACGAGCAATGTTAATGTACCTATCCGTATTACCACCCGCACGGGGCCACTGGTTAGGCCGGCGGGTAAGGAATTCCCTTAACAGAAGGTTCCCATGAGCAGTGCTGGTACTGCATCACTTCTCTATCACTGCTATAACAAATTGCCTGAAACGCAGTGGCTTCAAACAGCACAAGTTCACTATCTTTTGGAGTTTTGGAGAGCAGGAGGCTGAATGGGGTCTCACAGGAGTGAAATTGAGGAGTCGGCAGGCTGTGTTTCTCCCACAGGCTTTGGGGGATCTGTTCCAGCACCCAGAGGTCACCCGCATTCTTACTTCACGATCCCTTCTTTCATCTCCAAAGGCACCAGCATAACACCTCCGAATCTATCTCACTCTGACCTCCTGCCTCCTTCTTCCACATCTAAAAGACTTGTGACTGATTACATGGGGCCCACGCAACTAATCCAGGATTTGTTAAGATCCGCTGATTAACAGCCTTAATTCCATCTGCAACCGTCACTCCCTCTTGCCGTCATGGAACATGACATGTTCACAGTTTCCAGAGAATAGGACTTGGGCATCTTTCAGGGAGCAGGAGGGGGCATTGTTCTGCCTTGCGCAGAGTTGGCCTTCAAGTTTGATGGCTAGGCAGGCCTTCCCTGCGTAGCCATGCAGACAGGTTTCCCCTGAGCATGGCAGGGAGCTCTGGGAGTTTGAAAACTAGATGGGTCCTTTCTGGATTCAGGTTCGAGAGGCGCTCCCTCTGAACAAGTGCAGAGCAGCTGGGCAGAAGGGACTGGCTCCCCGAAGGTACACATAGGAGTTCGTGGGCTGGTGGGGGTTTCCTTCCCACCCCTACCTCATCCCGCAAAAGCTACGGGCAGGTCCGAGGGCTTCTTCAGTTTCCCCACTGCATATAGGGAAGGGCCAGGAGAAGGGGAACGGGCAGACTGGGGCGCCCCCACCACCTCGTTCACATTTTCCTGTTGTTTAGGGAACTCGAGCCTCGAGGCACCCCTCTGATTTCCAGTGGAGGGACAAAGTTTTGTTTCTTCATCTGTTAAGTCACGTCACCAGGAAGACATGAGATTGCAAGGGTCAAGCTTGTGTGGAGTCCAATATCTTGGCTTCATTCTCCTTCCTTCTTCTATCACTCCCTCAGCCCTATCCTCGAGTACAGTTAAGACACTCTTGGATCATGGAAGTACAGAGACAGTGTGGTCAGATCCATGGAATCAGGGAGTGGAGGGTGGTTGCCAGGGGCTGTGGGGAGGAGGAAGTGGGAACGACTCAACGGCAGGCATTTCCTTCAGCGGGAGGGGAAGTGCTGGGGACCTGCCGCACAACAGTGCGCCTGGAGTTCGCAGTGCTGCGAGGAACCCTTACAGCTTCTCGAAGAGGGTGGATCTCATCGTGAGTGTTTTTACCACAGTAAAATGGAAAATATTTTAAGTAAAGCAGCAAAGTCGTCTTAGAAATGAAATCTTTTCAAGACTACGCCAGAGAAATAGTTCTAAATTTTTTCTAAAATACCTTTAGTTTATACCTCCCTGCCCCCGCCCCCAAAAAACCCCACACTGGATTTAAACATAACTTTGAAAGGAAAATAGTCATTGTGTAAAGCTTCACCCTTGAGTATTCTAATTCAGTTGTGGAAAGGGAAGAGAGTGAATCTGGGAACGTATATTTCAAAATATTCACTTACTATTCTAAAGCACAGCTGCAAAAGGATCACTGCTTTAAAGCTAGACACACTGACATTTTGGATTTATGTTAGTAAATAAAGTAAAAGCCCATAGACATTTGTTTCCTTCTGTCTCCCCTGCTTATGTAACTCTAAAATAAAGAATTAAAAACCCGAGTACTCTAGTGAAGAGGACAAACCCTACAGACATAAAGTATGAAGAATCTAGAACCCCTTACCCTGCAGTTCTGGGAAAGGGTTGATCTCTCTGAGAGCCCATCTCCAAGCCTTCAAAACGCAAATAGAAGTCACTTGTGGGAGGACGCAGAGCCCTTAGGTTTTGAGGCTGAAAGTTCAGCGAAGGAGGTCTATTTCGCAATATCTCTCAAACCTCCAGAGGACTCTCCAGTTTACAAAGTGGAGTCACAGATATTACCTCACTGACCTTCTCAATAAAACCAGAATGTCAGCTGGAAAGGTGCAGAGGGGACTGAAGCTCAGAGAGAGCCCACATTCGTCGTGTAGGGTTGGGTCTTCATGCGCCATTAGATTTCTACTGGTGTTCTACTCTGTCACATAGTGACAGTGGAAGAGAGGGGATACGCTGTCCACCGGCTTTTACTTTATTCCTTAAAAGAGGGCTTTGTGCGCTGCATGGTTCAGTACCTGGGAGGCGGCCACCTCGTAGCCATCCGGGTTCATGGACGGCATGATGTGAATGCGCGTGTCCTGGACCAGCCTGACGATGCGCTGGTTCCCGTTCCGGAACTCCTCGCACAGGAACTCCGACAGCTGCAGCAGCAGCTCGCGGCCCAGCACCTCGTTGCCGTGCATGTTCCCCACGTACTTGACCTCGGGTTCCACTGCAAGCGTGAGAAAACCATGCGGAACCGTGAAGAATGGGGAAAGCTTGCAGGTGCCGTGGATCCCCAACCTCGCAAAGGGACCTTTTCCCTCTTTTTCAACAGCCAACCACAGAAAACCTCATGTTTCGTTTGGGAATTTTGCAATAACCAGTGAGCCCCGTTCAAACACTTCAATGACAAATGCTACAAAAAATCATGCTAGGGCTACTAATGACTACCATTTAGTGACCCTCTGCTATGCCCTAGGCATTTACGCTCACTACCAGTCTTCCCTGAAAACCTGTAAACTGGTCATTATTAACCTCAGGATGAGGGTGCTGGAGAGGGATGGGGTTGACTGGTCTAAGTCACCTCGTAATTAATCTGAGAGGCCGAAGCTCAGAGAGCATTTCCACTAGCTCACTGCTTCTCAGAGTCAATCTTTGTACTATAGTTCTCAAGACCTGGGTGCATAAGATTCTCTAGGTTATACCCTATCAGTTTCTAATCGTCTATGTTGATAACTTAATTTCCTTGGTACTTAGGAAACTAAAATCCCTTTTTACTATCGAGAACGTTGCATTTTGAGGCAGAGGAGGAAGGAGTCAACCTATGTCTCCTTCCTTAATCGTTGGCTATGTTAACTGCTCAAGTAAAGTAAGAACTGAGGTCATGAGAAGAGCCTTCAGAACCACTTCAAGAAAATCATTTTGGCCCCCTTTTAGAAGGATGGAGAAAAGCTCTGGCCAAGTGATTTATCGTCCACCCCCCACGATTTCCCTTCTACCCACCTTCCTGCCTCCATGATTATTCTGACTCTAGACCTCGCCATCTCCGTACTTCCACATCCTCCTCAACATCCTTGTAGGCTCTGGGACGCCATCCTGAGCCTCTCTACTGTGAGGGGACTCACTGTTGAACTCCCCCTTTATGGTGCTTACTACTTGTTACTCTGAATTTTCCTAATTTTGCACATACTTTATTTTTTTTTACTAGATATAATCTTAAACTTTCTTTAGCACAGCAATTGTTGTGATTTGTTTTAGTATAGCTACAGCGGCCTTTCCCGATCAAATGCCTATAACCCACTAGGATCAGGTAGTGAATTTTCTATAGCGTAGAGTCTGTAACCTTAGTGCATTTCTTGCATCTTAGATTGTGTCTTTCTCACTTTTCTTGGTGTGAAAACTATCCCTGCTTTCATGAAAGGATGGTGAGAGCAGTTGGCAGGTGGTGTTCTTCAAACATCCTTGTTCAGTGCAATAAAATTTGGAAAATATATTCCAGTCCCCTCCAATCCCTCTTATTGATTAAAAAATATTTTTACACTTCTGTGTAATCCAAAAGTTGGCAACCACTGCCCTATAGAAACTAGCATTGTGCCTTGCCCTCAGTACGTGCGCAATGTCAAATGCTTTTGTCTCTACTTTCAAAATATGCAGACTATGACCACTTCCCTTAACAACCACTGCTGTCATTCTGGTTGAAGCCCCCACACTCTCACACTAGGAGTATTACGCTACCTTTCCTACTTGCATTCCTCGCATCTCCCCAGTCCCACTAAAGTGTATTCTCCTTCTTCAGGGTCTGCAAGCTTGTTCTGTAAAGGGCCAGATAGTAAATCCTTGGGGTTTGTGGGCTGTACTGTCCCTGTCACAGCTGCCCAACTCTTGCAGCAAAAGCAGTCGTAAACCATACACAAACAAATAAGCGGGGCTGTGTTTCAAAGACAGTTGATTTAGCAAAACAGGCAAGTGGCCCTAGGGCTGTAGTCTGCTCTCGCCTGCTCTGAGTGGTCTTCACCTGGTTTAAGTCAGATCAGGTCCCTCTCCCGCTTCAAACCCTCCAGGGGCTTCTCACTTCGCTCAAAGGAAAAGCCAAAATCTTTTCAAAAGCCTGGAAGGCCCTTCCCTGACCCTTCTGCTCTGACCTGTCTCTTGATTTCCCATTGTTCACTCTGTTGGTGCTGCAGCCCCCCCCCCCCCCCGCCCCCACCTCCCGCTGCTCCTCACACAAGCCGAGCTCCTGTTCTTTCCTCTCCCTGAAATGTTTTCCTTCCCCATGTCAGGTGTTTCACCATCAGACGCTCAGATATCGCCTTGACAAGGAAACTCTTCCTAAGGAGCAGTGACCTCTCCCTGACTCAGGCCACAGGACTCTATGACATTCTCTATCTTTCCTGCTTTGCTTTTTTCCTTTACCACTGATTTTCATCCATGCAATCTTTCTATTTCCTTAGTGACCCTTTTATTGCCAGTGTTACCCAGCAGCAATTAAAGTCCTGAGGGCATGGACTTCCTTTTCTTCTTTGCTGTATATTCAGAGTCTACAAAAGTGCTGGCTTAGAGGAGGGAATCAGTAATATTTGTGGACTGAATAATGAAGAAATGAAAGCAACAAATGAAGGAACAGCTAAGTTATAGTGCCTGAGAAAAGAACACTCCAAATGAAAAAGTCTTAAGAAAGGTGTAAATGCTAGAAAGTAGAGGGGGCACCCAGAACAGGGCGTGCAGTAAGGAGGAGCTCACCCTCCACTGTGCGTTAGCATCTTCCACCGTGAGCGCACACCATGAGTGAAAGCAGGTGCTTGCTATAAAGTGAGACTTCAAAGTAAGGCCCTCATCCTCTCTCACTCGCTCTTTCAGCCTTCCCAAGCCACTTCCTTCCGCCCTCCCACTCTCCCCATGGGCTGTGTGATACTCTGAAGCTGTCTGGGACAGAATCCACCAGGTGTGAGGTTGTCATTGAAGGTTTTTAAGCAGGGGGGAGGGGGAGGGGGGAAGATTGTCTCAGTATTTCGGAAAATTATTCCGGCATCTCCGTGCTAAATGGAAGGCTTGGAGAGTGGCGGCAGGGAAGAGTTAGGAGGTCAGTTGGGAGCCTAGTCCAATCGCTTAGGCAGGTGGCGATGAACTTTGGGCGAGGGTGGGAAGTGTGGAAGTGGAGCAGAGAAGAGATTCGAGGTTGACAGTTTGAAGGAGGAACTGACATAACTTGAATGTCACAATTGTGATAAGTAAAGCCGTGAGAACTTAGAAGCAAATGTCCGTCAATAAACGAACAGTTAAATGCAACCGTGCAATGGAATCCTAGGTTATCCAGCCAAAAATAATGATGTTGATATACATTTACAGTCATGGATGCCATTCGGAACAGACTAGGACATGGGGACCCCGGCTGAGCAACTCGGGTGGTTGGAGTGGCATCCCGCCACACCAGGACTGCAGGTTCGATCTCCAGTCCGGGCACATGCAAGAATCGACCAATGAATGCACCACCAAGGGGACAACAGATCTCTCCTCGCCACCCCCTTCCTCACTCTGTCTTAAAAAAAATCAATCCGTAGAAAAGACTATGAAATGAGAAATGCAGTTATAGTCTGATACCAATTTTATACAACAAATCATGTGTGTGTAAGAGGGGGTTAACTATGCATAGAAGAAAGTCTGGAAGAAAAAACATCAACATGATAAGAATACTTATCCATGTGTGGTGAGATTATGAGTGAGTTTTTTCATTGTTTTCCCTTCTCTAATTTCTAGTTTTAATCCCAACATCCAATGCTTTTCTAATAGAAACAAACTAACAAAAAAGGGCACAATGTATAAAAAGAATACCCAGAACTCAAACCCTCCCTTGGATACCATATTCCAGCTCCCTCTCATTCCCCAAAGAAATATCCCTAAACCCTTCTACGTCTCCTGGCAGAATTAGAGAGGATAAGTGGTTCTGCTCATGTCTCCCGCGGCACCAGAGAGCAAAAGACAGCATTCTAGCAAGGCGGGGGCAACGTGTCATGGGGGAATAGGACAGGGACAGGAGGGGAGCAGGGAAGAAGGCCTTACCATTAAGGTCTTGAGCAAACAGAACCCAAAAGAGAGGAAGGAACTGGAGAGCGATTGGGCTTGCAGCTCCCCGGAGGCAGGGGCCGTTTGAGAGCTGAGCAGGGAAAAACACTTGGCATGAACTGAGGAAGAGGTGACACTTTACAGCCGGAGGGGTCCCCGGACCTTCCCACAAACCACCCCGATTCCTGGATTTCTAAGCAAGGATCCTGCCCTCTACACTCCAAAACCGGCTCAGGGCTTACAGAGCTCGTGGAATCCAGGGTGGTCGCTGAATTCCAGCACGTAGAGGTGTCTCCCCTTCACACTGCGCCCGATGCTGTAAAGCCGCGTGACGTAGGGGCACTCATTGTGCACCTTGTACAGTGTCCGCACGAGGTCGTCATAGCGGTGGTGGCGAAAGGTCACAGGGGCAACCGACTTGAAGAGCAGCAGCAAGCAGAGGAAGACTGAAAGCAGGCCCGGCATCTCGCTGGGCTTCTCCAGACGGAACCACTGAAATGAGTCCCACGTCTCCCCAGAACCTGTCTCCTTCACCGGTCAAGACCCGAGGGCCGGGAGCCAGCTCTTCTTCCCCGTGTTCTGCCGGCAAACACCAGTGTGAGGGCGCCCAGGGAGGGAAATCGAGAACTGTCCCGTCCGAAGCTGCAATTATTCCTGCGGCTCTGGGAGAGTCTCTCACCTCTCCTCCCTCATTTCTCTGTCTCTCCTAATGCAGGAAAACGTTTTGAAGGGTTTTTGCACTTCCCCAGATTGGGTAGTTTCACTGATTCTGGTTTACTGTTTAACTGCACTGTAAACAGGCTTCAATAAATAGCTGCTTATAACCCTTTGATCCCCAGAGAACTTTGAGAAACTTGGTCTATGCTTGTTCCCTAGACTATAAATTAAAGAGGTGTATTAAACGAAGCTTTCTGTCGCTTCCCATCCAACATACATGCTGGTGGCAGACTATCTTTCTTTTCATTTTTATTCATTTTTATCGCTGGTTCGATTCTCAAGCAGAGCACCTGGCTGGGTTGCGGGCCAGGTCCCCATGTGGGGGCGTACGAGAGACCAACTACACGTTGAGCTTTCTCTCCCTCTCTTTCTCCCTCCCTTCCCCTCTCTCTAAAAATAAATAAATAAAATATTAAAAAATAAACCACAATGAGATATCACCTCACATCCACTAGTACAGCTATAATCAGGGCACGCTAGCAAGTGTTGGTGTGAATAGGAAGAAACTGGAACCACATGCAGGGTGCGCAGAAGTACGTTTCCCCTTGTTAAGGGAGGACCCAGAGTCCATTCTTGTCTTTTTAATTTTTAAGTTTTGTATTATTTATCTGAATCACAACTGTAAACCTCCTTTTGCCCACCCTGGATATTGCCAATGGGAATGAAAATGCTGCGGCCACTTTGGGAAACAGTTTTGTAATTTCTTGAAAGGTTGGAGATAAACTTGCTTTATAACCCAGCAATTTCACTTCGAGGTAGCTACCCAAAAGAAATGACAACATATGTCCACACAAAAATGTGTTTGTGAATGTCCATAGCAGCATTAATCCCAGTAGACAAAAGTGGAAACAATCCAAATACCCGTTAACTGGTCACTGAGTCAACAACACGTGGCCTACCTACATGATGGAATTCCATTGGCACGGAATGGACTGAAGTACTGATGTGCTGTGCCATATGAATGACCTTCAAATTATCATGCTCAGTGAGAGAAGTTATACACAAAGAGCCACATATTGGATGATCCAATCTCTATGAAATGTTTAGAAAAGGCAACTATAAAGAGACAGAAAGTTAATTAGAGGTTGCCCGGGGCTGGAAGTAGAAAGGTATAGCAATTATCAGAGAGCACAAATTTCTTCTCAGGAAGAGAGACATGTACTCAGATTAGATTGTAGTGATTGTACAACTCTGTCACTGTACCAAAATTCATTGAATTGTATAATTAAAGCAGATAAATTTTATGGCATACATGTAATACTGCAAAAATGCTGTTTCAAAAAAATAAAAATAATGAAATACAGGCCCTTCCATTTAACTCTAAATTTTACATACAACACAACAGTTTCCCTTCTGAGTACCTACCCAAGAAAACAGAGACTTCCACACAAGAATGTTCATGGCAGTGTTATTCTCACAATAGCCCAAAAGTGGGAGCTACCCAAACGTCCATCAGCCAGCGTATAAATAAAATGTGGCAAAGTAGTACAACTGGACGCCGTTAGGCAAGAGAAAGGAATAAAATACGAATACAAGAAGCTACAACGTGGATAGACTTCAAAAACATTATGCTTAGTAAAAGAAGTCAACGCATACTGTATGCTTCTATTTACATGTAATTTCCTGCCAAAGTAAAGCTACAGAGACAAAGTACAAAGGTGAGCTCCTGGGGCTGGGGACGGGAATTCCCTGTAAATGGGTGTGAGAGATCTCGGTGGAGCGGTGACGATGTTCTAAACTGGCTGACGGTGATGGATGCACAACCGGGTAAATTCGCTAGAAATGACTGAACTGTACACTTAAAATGGGTGAATTTGATGGGATGTAAATCATATCTCAAAAAAGTTGTTTTCTTTAAAGAAAAACAACAAACCCTAACTTTCAATGGATGCCTCAGCGTGGTCTACAAGTCCTTTCTCCCAGGTCCAGTTGTGTCTTGTCCTTCTGCCCCTCACTGCAACCCTACCACACCACCTAGTGTCTTCTGAGCATGCGCTCATCACCTACCTTCCTGCTATTGCTTCTGCTGTTTGTCCAGGTAGCTTCCTCAGCCGCAAACGCTGCAACAGAAAGAACAAGCACAACACTGGAGGAAGAGGATTTAACCACTTGGGACCACCGAGCAGGGTCCCCAAACTTAATTTTGGAGGGTCAGGGAGGACTTGCTGTAGGATATGTGGGAGCTGAGCTAGATCACAGTCCGGCTTCCTGCTGTGGTAGGTATAATAACGGCCTCCCAAAGATGCCCACATCCTAGCCCCTGGAACCTGTGACTGGTATGTTGCATTGCAGTGGGGAATGCTGTTTGTAGATGGAATTTAGTTCGTTGATCAGCTCATCTAGAGATGGAGGGATTATCGGGGTGGGCCCAGTGTATCCCAAGTGTCCTAATAAGGGAAAGAGGAAGAAGGCAGGAGGGTAAGAGTCAGAGTGATGAGATGCAAGAGAGACTCGACCAGCCTTTGCTGGCTTTGAAGATGGAGGACGGGGGTCCAGGGCAGGCGGCCTCTCGAAACTGCAGAAAGCAAGGAAACACATTCTCCCCTAGGACACCCAGAAAGGAATATGCAGCCCTGTCCCCACCTAGAGTTGAGTCCAGTGACACCCATGGCCAACTGCTGATCTCTAGCACAGTAACATAATGGATGTGGGCTGTTTGGGGTCAGTTTTGACTATAGCAGTGGGAACCGATACACCCTCAACACCTTAAGTCTTGGGCAGAGCTGGGGATCCTGAGGAGGAGCTAGAGCAGAACACTTACTCATCTGACATCCTCCTGGTCTGTTGACTCAAATCCTGGGAAGCCAGCCCTGCACAAGGCCATTGGCTCAGTGGCCAAGTGGCACCTTCAGGGTTCTCTCTGTTTCTCCTCCTCACCCTGATTTTAGGCATTTCCTTTTTTCTGGTTTCTCGGTGTCCTCCAAGTTGCCCTGCCTGGGAACACTAAGTCTCCATTCTGCCTTAGGCAAGCATGAAGAGCACCTCACGATTCGACACATTGGCTCACAGGTTATCAGCTAGTTGTAGTTATTCATTCCCACAGGAGCCAAAGTTACATAACTAGTAAGTAGTGGAAGAGGGCCTGGAATCTGTGCCTCCTGGTGCAGTGAGCCCAAAATCCAACTCAACTAATCCCAGTGAATAGAGGTACGGAGCAGGAGAAGGGACCCACCAGACAAATGTGAGCAAAAAGGGAGTACTTTAAGTTCTTTGGCTTCTCCCTTTCCTATACTGTTCTTAACCTCCCCCTGTCTATTTTGTTCCTACCATTTATGCTTCTTATTCCCTGTACCTTTTCCTCCATCCTTCCCCCTCTCCACTGATAACTTGGGTAATTTAATTATGATGTGTCTTGGTGTGTTCCTTCTTGGATCCAAATTCTTTGGGACTCTCTGAGGTTCCTGGACTTCCTGGAAGTCTATTTCCTTCACCACATTGGAGAAGTTATCTTTCAGTACTTTTTCAATTAAGTTTTCATTTTCTTGCTCTTTCCCTTCTCCTTCTGGCACCTTTATGATTCAGATGTTGGAACACTTCAAGTTGTCCCAGAGGTCCCAGTCCTCTCCTCATTTTTATTGAATTCTTGTTTCTTCATTCTGTTCTAGTTGAATGTTTCTCTCTTCTTCACGTCCCAACTTGTTGATTTGAGTGCCAGTTTCTCTCCCATCACTGATGGTCCCCTGTCCATTTTGTTTTATTTCACTTTGCATAACCTTCCCTTTTCCCTCTATTTTGTGACCATATTCAACCATTTCCGTAAGCATACTGCTTACCGGGTTTTGAACTCTGTATCTGATAGGTTGGCTATGTCTTCATTGCTTAGTTCTTCTTTGGAGTTTTGATCTGTTCTTTCATTTGGGTTATACTTCTTTGTGTTGGCATGCCTGTTATGTTGTAAATGGCAGAGACTTAGGTATTTGCCAAGGCAGGGAAACTCACATAGCTGCGTTGTGGCGCTATAAGTGGGGGAGGGATCAGAGAGGGAACAATGCCGCTTGCTCAGGTCTCAGCAGGCTTACAGTCACTTCCCCAGCTACCCACAAGCAAATTGGCCTTCCTGGTGCTCATTCCAGAATGAGTGGGTTGGCGTACATTCTCGGACCCTCTGGGTTCCTCCTGCAAACTCTCCTGTGAGGCTGGGAGTTTCTCCCACCCCCACAACCCCCACAGAGTTTTACAGCCCGAGGTTCTGAGGCTTTGTTTTCCTGCACTGGAACCCTGGGTTGCATGGTCTGTCTCCCTCCCCAATCATTCCTCTTGGTGTATCTGCTCGAATGTGGGACCTTCCAGTCCGCTGGCTGTAGCCACACCCACCGGGTGCGCTGCCTTGCTGTGCCTCCTCTCCACCCCACATTTCCTTTTTACTCCTTGGTTGTCAGACTTTCATACAGTTTCATTTTCTGGCAGATCTGGTTGTTCTTTTGGTTTTCAATTTTCTTTTCCCCATCTATGGTTGTGCAAGGAAAGAAGTTGTGTTTATCTACGCTTCCTTCTTGGCCAGAAATCCACCAGGATTTCTAATAGGCATTCATGCCTAATGCCACCCATCCACCTGCAGTCCCGGGAGGCAGGAAAGAGCGTTGCAGAGACAAAGTCTGTCCACAAATGGCATCACATGACAGGGAGTCAACTGGGGGAGGAGAAACCAGTCCCGTCCACAGCAGTCCCTTTCCACCTTGCCCTCCTTAGTCTGTCTCTACAAACACCTATTACCAGCTGTACATCTTGTATACATCTTGTATATTTAATTGTCTGTTTATTATCTCCTTTCTCTAGTACCATACAAATGCCTTGAGGGCAGGGAATTGATCTCTTTTCTTTGCTGATGTGTCTCCAACAACTGGAGTAGGGCCTGGCGCGTAGTAAGTTCCCAAGAAATACTTGGGGAGTGATGGATGACTGATTGATTAAATGCTTTACTCACACGATCCCACTTTATCTTTACCTCAGTCTTTCTTGATTTACACGTATGAGAACCCTTAACATGTGATTGGATTTCACAGATCGTGTACTTTA